AATTAGCAGTTTTTGTTCGGATGCAGATAGATAAGCAATGCCAGGTTTCCATCATACGTCAAAAAAATTAAACATAAGTTTGAATCGTTCAAAATAAGATATGCATTTACACTTTCATAAAAATGGTACAAAGCTGTCATTGGAGCAGTACCCTAAGGTGCAAAAGCTCAAAAGTAAAATTTTCACCCCTAAATGGTATATATTAGTACCTTAAAGGTACATAGATATAGATAGACCACGATATAGATAGGGTTTTCATATCATGCCAATTTTAAGAGTGATTTTTAAAATATGTGACCAAAAAATACTTAGTGTTCAAGTCTGAATACAACATATTTGTTCAGTCATCGCATATACATTCAGCTAATGTTGACCAGAGACTACTTTAGCACTAGCTGCTGACATAAATATCACTTTAAAAACACTTAAAAATACAGAGTAGCAAATTCTTTCAGCTTGAAGGCAGCGCTTTATAAATGAGTCCCTGGGCGTGTAGTTTGTTTGAGAACCTGTGAGGTGAACAGGAGTTTGCAGATGGCTTCATTCTGGTTTACTGAGTTTGTATGTTTCACAACAACTGTTTTAACAGACTCCTAAGACACTTAGCAAACATGACATGCCCAGTGTGGTTCAATTTTACACCTTTGTTTTTCTATATAGGTTGAACCTTATGTTACAAAGGGGAAAAGAGAGATACGTAACTTATGTACCACAAAAATAACAAAGGGCCGGTCTTTTGAAGTTCTGTGGATAGGAATGAAGATCGTATAATACAGAACATGGGAATTGTATAATGGGCGGGCCAGTATGAATAAGCAGCATTATGAACATAAAAAGGTACACTGATCAGTACAAGTACAGGCAAATAAAATGCCACCCCTTTATGAGGATGATCATTTGTAAAATGCACACCGAGTTTACATACACAAGCTATCATAAGAAAAGTGTTGATATGATTGCCATCATCCAGTTAAGTCAATATTTTGTCTTTTAAAAGTCAAATTTGTCCAAAAGTGTAATTTTGGGTCTTATTCAGAATATATACAGTACTGTATATATTAATTGATTAAAATAATAATATATAATATTTACATACAGTATATTCAGCATAAAATGTTTAACTTTAATATATGATCACATATCACTTTCATTTGTCCATGTGCAATACGAAATATGTATTTTAAATATTTATTTGCTCATGGACAAATTAAGGTAATATTTGATAAAGGTAATCCCATTTTTTTTCTTCTCAAAAATATGCTGATGATCATTTATATACGTATACCAGTGTTATTTTAGTATTATTTATAAACAATTATAGTTTTTATCTTTATGTTTTCAGTTTTCACTTTAATTTTATTTACATTTTAGTAATTTTGCTATGTGCTTTTGTAGCTTTTTTTTTTGTGCTTTTTTGTTTATTTTTATTTCAGTTTCAGTGCAGCATTTATGTCCAGTTAGTAATTATAGTGCTTCAACTTATTACAGTTAGTTGCCAATGCAACATTTCTCGTTTTCATTTACTTTACTTTTATTTCATCTAGAATTTTTATTTTTATTTATTTCAGATATCAAGAATGTTTTTAATAGTTTTAGGTTTAATTTCAGTTAAGGATAATAACTTAAGATATATACATCCTGCTTTTTTGGAAAAGTTTTAAGCAGAAAATAGATATTTAAAAAAATTCTGTTCATATAAAATGTGTGATTCTGACAGGTGGCAATATCAAATCAATGTGTCCTGGTTTAAGAGTTGTTACAGTAAAGGTTTATCTCCTGTTAAACCACACAGGCCGACAGATTGCGAACAAGTTCTGTAATTTACATAAGATATGTTACATAATTTAGCCAAGTGGGCGGAAATTAGGAAAATTGATACGTCCATAACACCTACTCATTCATTTAATGTGCCAAATGTCCTTTTGCAATAGAATAACAAACAGCCGCAAACATTATATTCAATGCTGTTGAAAGGACAGGTTTTTATGTCTTCTTTCTCCTTAAATACCCAGCACACAATGTTCTCAATGTGAGGAGAAAATGCTTATCATATTACCTATAGATTCAGCATCTAGATTTTACCGGCAGCGCTTAACATTTGATACACGGTCAGGACGGGCTGCAGGGAAGACATCCAAGAAGGCAGCCGGGGTGAACTTGATGAGAGACAGTCTAGAAACTACAGACGCATCCTAAATCACGTTTCATACCCTAAAACTGAGAGGATAGTTAGTGTTTCTATTGTGACAGTATCTTGGGAGGATCCTGTGTGAAATGTAGACAGTATACATTATACTACAATGAATCGTAGGGAAGGAAAGATTAGTTCGCCTCCAAAACATGAAAATAGTCATTTAGGCCTACTCATTCTAAACCTGTGTATTAGAAGATGGTTTTGAACAATGTTGGGATCCAAACAACACTGGACCCCACTGACTTTTATTGCATAGCTAAAGAACACACACATACACTATGACATCTTTTGGTTTTAGGAGGCTGAGATGCATTGATAACTTCAAAACATAAAATAATTTGGGGGTACATTTGCATACTGAGAACATTTACTGGAAGAGAAAACCACGGACAATGTATATGCAAAAACGTCAGCTACAGTTGAATTTTTTGTGTAGCTGTGTTTAAATGGACAGAACATTCTGCGATGCTTAATTTGCAGACTCATTTTAGGAAAAGTCTGCACTGTTCAGCATGATTTCCCAAAGACATGCATCTTTGAAAAACTTTTGCATTTTTGCTTTGAAATTTTAATGCATACTACAAAGTCTGTACTTTGTATACTTGTTTGCTTCGAGTGATTTTGCCAAGTATGTGAAAACTGTACTGACTGTAAAAGAAAAAGATGGCTGCAATTAGGTATCACAACTGAAAATTCAACATCAGAAAAAGTTATGTGTTGTTTCAAGTGTTTGTGCTTGACTTAAAAATGATAACTTTAGTTAACCTGGATATTTATTTCAACAATGTTTAAATTGTTAGAACTAACTGCAGCAGCATCTTTTACAGTGCATGAGATGTTTAATTGCTGATATAACGCAGATTTTATATACAGTACCATTTAAAAGTTTGGGGTCTGAGTAAGATTGCACCAAGGCTGCATTTGTTTGCTTGAAAATACAAAAAAAGCAGTAATATTACAGTTAAGCAACATTTCTTGTTATTAACAAATTTAAATATTTTTGTGGAAACCTTAAAGGCACAATATGTAAGATTTTTTTATTAAAATATCCAAAAACCACTAGAACAGTGTTATATATTTTGCTGACTTGTGTACGTACTTTATCTCAAATGTTTCGAAGAATGTTTAAATCCAGAGAAATAAGCGATTTTAACTAGTGACAAGGACCGTGTTTATAGTGTCATTGTGTCACCTGCCAATGACGTCAAACACCCTCGATTTCCGTTTTGTTTTGTCGAAAACATGGAAACACCAAAGACGCTTTAATATGTTGTGTGTTTTAATAGACAGGTGACGACCGCACAGAGTAGCATTATAACAGAACTTTCAAACGTATCTAGTATGATAAAACAGCGCTGCTTTACCAAGTGACAAGGACCGTGTTTATAGTGTCATTGTGTCACCTGCCAATGACGTCATACACCCTCGATTTCCGGTTTTGTTTTGTCGAAAACATGGAAACACCAAAGACGCTTTAATATGTTGTGTGTTTTAATAGACAGGTGACGACCGCACAGAGTAGCATTATAACAGAACTTTCAAACGTATCTAGTATGATAAAACAGCGCTGCTTTACCCCACATACGCACGACCGGAAGGAGCGGAAGCAGTCGACTGTGGCATAATAAAAGCTCCGCTGCTTTCGAGCCGTGTGTCGCGCTCGTTCAGCGGCCTCGTTTCGCTTCGACGGCTTTCAGCCTCACCCTGCTTCATTCTACTACATTAATAAATCATTAGCTCATCCATGAACATGATTTCTGCCCGAGTCCCGTCTGATTGCATCGGCTGTGGGGATGAAGACCACAACTCCCATGATTCCACACTACGCATTTGTCTCTTTTGTTTATTTTGAATACACGCCCTCTAGCAGCGAAAATTACATAATGTGCCTTTAATATAAAAAAAATGTCATTGTTCTTTGATGAATAGAAAATTTAAAAGAACAGCATTAAAAAAAGGCATTATAAATGCCTTTACTGTGACATTTAAACAATTTAATGCATCCTTGCTAAATAAATGTATTCATTAAAAAAATCGTACTGACCCTTACCTTTTGGAAGGTAGTGTGTACATCTAATATTGCTACAATAATACAAAATACAATCGTGTGAACTATGACCTGTGTTTTGGTCATGTGTTGAAGCAATGGCTACCTCCATCCGGAACCCTGTAGCTCAGGCTGACATACTGAGACACTTATCAGCAGTGCCTATGGAAATGTCATCACTAGTTACTGTGAAGGGAATTTTCCATTCGACTAACTTCCCTTTCCGAAGTTATCCTGATGAGGTCCCTGTGCCCAGGACACACTCACAAACAGTCTCACATTACGGAATTCAAAAATAGTATTTTTCACATGGAAAGCCGTTTGTAACTAGAGCATGAAGAGTTAATAAATATTCTTGAATTTCCCATTCTGTCAAATTTTAATATCTACATCAATAAACAGAACATTTGCATCTGGTTTGAAAAGGTTTTCTGTTCAGATTGAGTTTTATTCTACTTTACACTTACAATAAATACAAAGTTGGGAAAATAACGAAATAATCAAGTCTTGTTTTGCTGCACCAAAACATTTGTGATTTTATATATGTAATTTAAAGCTTAGGCATATGTATGGTGTCGCTACACCTACGTTTACAGTGGTAGAAGCAGCATTTCAGAACTCCTTATACAGAGTGACAGAAAACCAGCACACATTTATTTTACACTCCTTTGCTGGTCTGTGTTTCTTAGTAAACACAGCTGGTAGCATTGCAGTAGTCTATACAGTCATTGGTACAACTAATCTTTTTAATGTGTCCCATGCACAACCAAGCCATATTGTTCAATGTCTCAATGTCTTCAGCGGTTGAGAAAACCCAACACATTGGCTTTCAGTGGAGCAAACCAACTAATTGTTGCTCAGTTAGTCTGAGTTCACAGAAGTTGGTCTATGTAGTTGACCACAGCGATGGAAAGAAAAACAAAATCACAAATCTTAATTTAGAAACACCAGAAAAAAAAAAAAAACAAGTCGGTGTGAGCTGATCACTGGGGTCTTCTGTTGAAATTTCCCTACAGTGAGAAACAGAGGAAATATTAGATAACTTCTGTAAAATAAAATATTGTAAAAATAAAATACTAAAAAACTAATAAAAAAAACAAATATAGCAACCTACAAAAACTTATGAAACTTAAAACAGTTTATTTTAGCTATTCTCATTCATTTTTTGGTTGAACGTGATGTATTAAAAACTAAAACAGAAATAAAAGTAATAAAACTTCACAGACATTAAAAAACAAAAACAGCAAAATTACTAAAACTTTAAATGGAAAATATAAACTAAACAAAGGATTTCAATGACACTAAAATAATACTGTTTAAATGAAAAAATTAATATGAACTTAAGAAAAAACTACAATAAATATAAATATAATTAAAGCTGTAAATACCTTGAAAACATTACTTACAATGTGCAGATTAAGTCAAACTAATTGCAAATAATCACATGATAATATAATAATCACATAATAATATTGAGCATATATTTTGCTATAAAATATAACACAAATAATTAATACATGTAATAATGTAAATGTGATTTTGTAGCAGTGACTCTGACAGAAAAAGGAAATAAGTAGCAATGAGAATACAAACAGATGCCTTCTGTCACAGAGGTGAGTAAAAAAACTGAAATTGAATGATTTTTGAAATGAAAAGCCAGAAGACATACAGTTTAGTTTATTAGATCTGAATCCTTCTTCCACCCCCTCATACCTTACAAAAAAATGAAAATAAAAAAATTAACACAAACAAACACAGACAAAAAAAAAAGGCCTTTAAATTCCACCATTCCAGACAGAAGGTTAAAGTGTCATCAAGTGCATTTTAGGAATGAAAGCAGATCTTGAAAGAAAGAATTCCCCATGGACATGTGTAATCGAGAGAGAGAGAGAGAGCGACAGAGAGCGAGAGAGAGGCACCAGAAAACCCAAAAATTCGAGAAGAAGTTTAAGGACAGATTCTGTTCTCTTCACCAAAAGGAAAGATGATGATGTTTTGTGTGGGTGATTATAGGCTTAATTTTCACTGTTTCATCTAACAATCAGTAATATGCACATTTACAGTATCTGTCGATTAAACTAATGGCATTTACAGGCAACAAAAACATCCCTTTTATACATCAAATACACCAAATGAATGCTAAACATAATGAACATTAAAAAAAAAAATTATTCATACAGCACCCTTACAAAACTGAAGAAAGCTTTCCAATCAATAAGATCATTAGAAAGTAGGCCAGTATGCATGCATGTTGAAAAGGAAGGAAGGAAGCTAAAAGTGAAAGGGCGATAGTCTGGAGAGACCCAAAGCAAGGAAACACAGCATCAATAATGCTCTCCACATACATTTGTATATATTTGTCTCATATCATCAAGTTGTGCGGAGGGGCTGGTGTGGCCGCCCTGGGCTCTGGGAGGAGTGCCTGTGGATGCTCGTGGAATTATATTGTCATATGATTCCATCCGTTGCTACAGCCGAAAACAGTCCAAATAGACATGGAAGGTGAACACACAAATGCACAAAAACACTCTACAACACAGATATGTACATAAAGCTCTTTTGTGGACTTGTATTTTTTTGTTTGTGAACAGTGACGACAAGACTTGGTGGTTGTATGCATATTCAAATCAGTAGGAAAATATGTGCACTCACATTGACCACTCCTTTGGTGATGATGGCTAGTTCTGTCGGTTGGTAAACACAACTTCGGGGTTGGCCGTTATAGCCGCTGTATGGGGACACAGGCTTATTACCTGAGAAAACAATGTTAAAACAAAAAGGTTAGCTGTTTGGACTTGAGAACACCTTTGTGTGTGACAAACATGACATCCATATAGACACATGAGACAATAAAAATAACGCTCCTATATGCGATAAATGTGAATAAATAACCTATTTCCCCCTAAATAATAGTAGTTAAAAAAAATGCATTTCAGATTTGTTATGACTGTTATGTTGAAATCAAACTTAGATATTTAAATAAATACAGTTAACTAAAACTATATATAACACATATATATATATATATATATATATATATATATACACAAACCCAATTCCAAATATTGGCTCATTTTGGATTTCATGAGAGCTACACATTCCAAAAAAGTTGGGACAGGTTCTTGCAGAAAAATATGTGTTTTAAAAATGTAAAATGTAAAGTATATGTAAAAACGTATTGTGGTTTCCACAAAAATATTAAGTAGCACAACAGTTTTTTGACAATTATCAAATTATAAATGTTTCTTGAGAACCAATTCAGCATATTAGAAGACTGAAGACTGGAGTAATGGCTGCTGAACATGTATTTTACATTTTACTAATATTTCACAACATTAATGTTTTCAGTGTATTTTTGATCAAATAAATGCAGCTTTTATTAGAACAAGACACCTCTTTCAAAAAACAAACACATACTGACCCTAAAACTTTGATCGGTATTGTGTGCTATATGTATTAAATATATATATATATATATATATATTATTTAATACATATATTTGCTATAGAAAATCTCATATTTATTCTGCAATAATAAAACAATGATATGTTTCCAAGAAACTAGATATATGCCTTTCTTTTATCACAATCACTTAGCAAATATCTCAAGTTATCTTAACCACGATATTACGTGCGTTTAGATGGCATATGACAGAATGCGGTTTGATAAGACTGAATCGATGCAGTGAGGCAGAAATGTCCTCTCGCTCTGTGAAATACCCAACACTGATGATACTGTTGCCACACCTCAGTCTCCTTGGAGACATGCTAATGTAAACACACGCTTCAGGGTCTCCACAGAGAGTCAGATAGGAGTAGTGTGTGCTCCTATTGACTCATGTCAGGGTGGGAAAGGTCTTTCATTTCATTTCATCCTTCATTTACTAGTGAGATATGATTCCTGAACTTTCCAGCACTCCTTGTTCAAAACAAACAGAAGCATTCCTTTTACATCACAAAACCACAGCTGCTATGCAAATATTGATGAAGATGAGGAAACGTTATATGTATGGTACGCTATTGATAGAAGATTGAATAAATGTGACTGTTCTGTAAGTTATTGGTTGAGCAAACACAGTTGGATATTGTTGATCTACAATAGAAAGGCTTGACCCGAATGCGCAAATGCATGGAAGCTCTGGGTGCAAGTTCATGGACATCAAAAGGCAAAAGATATTTGCATGTTTGGCTGGAGGAAACAAGCAGGTGCAAAGACAAAGAGAGAAAGAGACATAGACAGGGACAGACAGATAGTGAGAAGACAGGGAGAGAGAGAGGAAGAGAGGACGGATGAACTGCGTGTTGAGTGCGGTACGATCAGATATTAGACTGAGTGGATTCAAACATCAGCATATCAAATTCAGGTGTGTAAGCAGCAGTTATCTGTGAAATTCAGCCCTGTTTCCAGCATGTTCTGCAGCTTTGTCCTCTCTCAAAGTCACACGCTCCCTCTCCTCTCAGTGCATGTTAACACAAACAGATATATTGGGTTTCTGGAGTATATAATTAGCACATTTAGTTTAATTCAGAATCACTGCATGGAGCTTTTGAAACAGCACAAATAAACGGTGCAAAGTTACATTGCTGTATACAACGTCCAAGACGTTTTAGATCCATAATAGTAATTAATTAGAGTTAGGAATTCAGAATTCATTCTTTAAAACGGAATGATTTTCATGATGTTTGGGTCCATTTACATGTTCTGGAACATTTCCACCCAGCAATAGAGCCTACAATATTTACATGAAACGTTAAAACAGAAACTTCTACCTATAGAATCCTGATTTCAGACATTGTTTTATTACGAAATATTTCAGAACGGATTCCAAATGAAACATATACTTCTCAGCGTATCCACAAGTGGTGCTGTAGTGGCTGTCAGCATAAACTGTTTTTCTCTTACAGGTCAACTACAGTACTTCCACAGTGAAGAAATACTTGTTTACAATTAGCTATCTGGCTATTTATGCTGAATATGAAAAACTGCACAGATATATAAAGGTAACTTCAGGATTTCACAAAGCAAAGGTTATTGCTTTCGGAGGTGGATGCTGCGGTTTGGGAACGCAGTCGTTTAACAGTTCTGGGAGGCAATTATACAGAAATACTTTGATGACAGACTTTGCTCGGGTATTTCCGAATGACCATATAACAACATTTCAGATGCCGTGGAACAAGATCGGTCCGCTGGTTAGTCAGGATTTGCCGTCCCATAGCGCAAAGTCACATGACTTTTTTTGATGCGCTTGGAGGATATTATTCGCAAAATGCATTTCTATCTCCCATTATTCGCATTAACCCTTTTTTGCACAAGTCAAAAACCACCTCAAGCGAGCGTAAAAACTTTTTTGCGAATTAAGCAATTTTTATTCGAAATTCAGCGTTTCCATCTCTCGATTCTGATGCGATACTTCAAAATGCGCATAAAAGCAGGGTGATGGAAACCCAGCTACTGTTTCCACAAAAATATAAAGCGACACAAATGTTTTCAACATTTATAATAATAAATGTTTGTTAAGCACCAAAGGATATTAGCATATTAGAATGATTTCTGAAGGATCATGTGACACTGAAGACTGGAGTAATGCCTGCTGAAGATTCAGCTTTGCCACCACAGGAAAAATTTACATTTGAAAATATTTTAAAATACAAAACAGTTATTTTACTTTTTTGTAATATATTGCTATTGTACTGTATTTTTAATCAAATAAATGCAGTATTGGTTAGCACAATATTTAAGGTTTTAAAAACATTAAAAAACGGCTTTTGAACGGTAGTGTCCACATTTTGGCATATGCAATTCCATTAACACTGTTAAAAACTGGATAAAAATATTTATTTAAAATAAAAATATTATCTGGTTCCAATCAGCCTAATCAGACTGATGCTCATAAAAACACACTTATATTTCCCGATAACAATATGGAAACAGAAATATTATGGATCCCCAATACACCTCAAGCGAGCGTAAAAACTTTTTTGCGAATTAAGCAATTTTTATTCGAAATTCAGCGTTTCCATCTCTCGATTCTGATGCGATACTTCAAAATGCGCATAAAAGCAGGGTGATGGAAACCCAGCTACTGTTTCCACAAAAATATAAAGCGACACAAATGTTTTCAACATTTATAATAATAAATGTTTGTTAAGCACCAAAGGATATTAGCATATTAGAATGATTTCTGAAGGATCATGTGACACTGAAGACTGGAGTAATGCCTGCTGAAGATTCAGCTTTGCCACCACAGGAAAAATTTACATTTGAAAATATTTTAAAATACAAAACAGTTATTTTACTTTTTTGTAATATATTGCTATTGTACTGTATTTTTAATCAAATAAATGCAGTATTGGTTAGCACAATATTTAAGGTTTTAAAAACATTAAAAAACGGCTTTTGAACGGTAGTGTCCACATTTTGGCATATGCAATTCCATTAACACTGTTAAAAACTGGATAAAAATATTTATTTAAAATAAAAATATTATCTGGTTCCAATCAGCCTAATCAGACTGATGCTCATAAAAACACACTTATATTTCCCGATAACAATATGGAAACAGAAATATTATGGATCCCCAATAAAAAATAACTTGTAAAGTAAGATAACTTCAAAGCAAAGATGATAAGGTTAAGAAGAACACAAAGTAAAAACTCAAAAGCTTGCATTTACCTGCAGTGGGCTCGTCCATAGAGAAGGCCTTATTCTCCATATATATGCTCTGTGCACTTTGCTCCTTCAGAATGTTCTCGTACCCTCTGCTGGGGTACAGATTTTCCTCAACAGCTGCAGCTGCATCTTCATCTTCCTCACTCAGGCTACACACCGCCGGCACCGTGTGGAGCAGCAGAAACACCCAAGCGTTTGACACCAATGCTATAGCCAATGTGGGGTCATCCCACGTCGGCCCACCGTGCTTTGCGTTCCCGTAAACAAACATGAGAATCCACGCCACCCAGATGCCCACCGAAAGCAGTCCTAAGACCAGGATGAAGGCTCCATCTTTGCGCCAACGCTTGTGCTTACCTGCCAATATGGGTACGGATGCCACCACGACAGCCAATAGTAGGTTTAGAACATAAATGAGCGCCATGACAAAATCCTGGTTTTCGATATTACAGGGAATAGCGGTAGCAGTAGCCAGAATTCCAGTGATGTTAGTTGGGTATCGTACAATAGTAATGATTAGCCATTCGGTGTTGATGACAACTTCTACCAGCCAGAGTCCCAGAGCTCCCAAGCACCAAACCCAACCTCTGGGCGCTGAGTTCCTCCTGGCCAGTATGTTCAACCTGATGGCGTGCATGAGAAGGCAAGAGAAGCAACCGGCGAACAGCACACCGAAAAGAAAGCGGCGTGACGTGCAGGTAGCGAAGTTTCTTCCAACGATGAAGGCGAATGTGAGGGCGAACAGTCCAAATGTGAAGATGAGGAAGCCTGCGTGAAGCCCCATTGAACTGCGCCACTTCTTGTCAGTGATGAAAGGAAGGCTGGCTAGCAGCACGATCAGAAGAATCAGGGTCGCCACCAAACCAGCAGCTGCAAACGCCTCAACTACAACACCCCAGACTGCAGTCAGGTCACACAGGCTGAAATACAAGGAGCCCACATTATCTCCACAGCCCCTGGGGATCGAAGTCTGGGCCAGTGATCCAGGAACGACACAAAGAGCGATGAAGAGCAGAAGATGAAAACGTTTGGAGGTGAGGTGATCCATGTTTCTAAGAGAGAAAAGCAAGAATTAAGAGTTACAAGATACTGAGTGATATTAGCTCAAAATCCTGGTGTGGATCTCAAAAAGTGTGGACTCTCTAGACTTTGTGCATGCAAAATTACTTTGGACATTGCGATGATTATGGGCAACAGGATTACATAACTTAAATCAAGATTTAAGTTACACAACCATTCCAAAGTCAGTAAGAAATGTCTCTTGAGCACCAAATTAGCATATTAGAATGATTTCTGAAGGATCATGTGACACTTAAGACTGAAGTAACAATGTTGAAAATTCAGCTTTGAAATCACAGAAATAAATGCATTTTAAACATATTAAAACAGAAAAAAGCTTAAAAATTGTAATAGTATTTTACAATATTAGTGTTTTTACTGTATTTGATCAAATAAATCTTACCCACTTTATACTTTTAAATGGCAGTGTATGTAACCTATGATATTTTACAGTTACATTTAATATAGATTTGTTCCAAATTCATGCTCTCACTGCTTTTTAAGAATATTTCTGCCTATTTGGAGAAAAAAAAATGTTGGGTTCATCTTACAGTAGACTCAACCTTACAGTTGAACTTTAATATGCTTTTTTTTGTAAAATATCTTAATGTTTTCTTTAATTGTTATTAATTATAGTGAATATCTTCAATCATGTGTTGTGATATGGCAGTAAACAGACTGATTTAACTCTCACAAACCTAAAGTGTACATCATTCTACAGGTTCCTGGTTCATTCTGAATCAGACATTTTCCAAAAGAATGAATCATTTAATGAGGAATTCAGTTATGAACTCAGTCACTCTAAAATGATTCACTACCTGAATGGGTCTTATTCATCTAGTGTGACCGCACCTTAAGAGCAGACATTAATCATAAGGAGAAGAAATTTCTACACTTGGAGCTTATCCAGATTTGTCTGTTAATCATTAATTGGACTTTTAAAGAATATTGATTTTCTTAGTTCCACTTTCAAAACTTTGAAGAGAGTGAATCAGTGGAAAAATATACAAAATGACAAATGGACCATAAAGAGCTCTTCGAAACCTTGAAGTTTAATTTACTACTTAGTAAGAAAGATTAAAAACACCACTTACATTTTCTATTGTGTTATAAAGATTAACCACAATTAACTGAATTCCAATGAATTGTAACCACAATCTCATTACAACCTAGAAGTGAGACTGTTACCAAATGATAAGACAATTCATTGTTAACAGGTTGTGTCTGTTTGATCACATTATACTGATTTCATTACTTAATCGATACTTTCCCTCAGGAATCAAGAGTACTCTTTCAGGAACTGCTACAGTACAGTTTGTGCTTTACTGAAGCCAGTCGCTTTCATATTCGACGGATAAAGACTACTTATATTAGTACATAAACTTCTATTTGTTCAACTCTTGCACTGGAAGAACTCTCTTTGAAAATCACAACTTTAACAGAGACATACAATGTAAAAGGTGGCTGAACTGATGAACACCATGCAGGGCCTTAAAAATAAACATAACATGAACTCAATGTCTGCGAGTTGTTCACCTGCTGGATGTTTAAAACTCCCTCTAGGGTTCTAATGTTCTGGTTTTAGCCAAGCTCCAGCAGAGGATTACAGTTTATGAGTGTTACGTTTCTTACAATCTACCATGTTAACAATATCAATTTATGACACAATCAACAAGCATTATATTATTTCAAGTTCAAAAATAAAATAAGGGGAGGGCTCTTCATTTCCAAGCCTTTTAAAGAGGCCATATGATGCGATTTCAATTTTTCCTTTCTCTTTGGAGTGTTACAAGCTCTTGGTGTATAAAGAAGATCTGTAAAGTTGCAAAGACTAAAGTCTCAAATCCAAAGAGATATTCTTTATAAAAGTAAAGAGTCAACCACGCCTACCTAAAACGGCTCGTTCTAACACGCCCCCACATGTCTACGTCACTATGTGGGAAGATTTTCATAACGCCGCCCAAATGTTCACGCAAAGAAAGAAGGCGTGACTTTTATTCTCGCTGTAGTATTGTTGCCGCCGCCGCCATGTCGTGAAGGCGCTGTGTTTCGTTGTGAAAGCGAAACTACTTTATTTGGTCTTCCAAAAGAGGACACGACTAGAAATCAGTGGTTAAGTTGTATTTGCAACACTGTTTCAGAACACTTCAACCAAAATATTCAGATGAGTCCAGCGCATTTTATGGAGGACTGTTTCCTGATCCTGGGAGAGTAGACTACAATGCCGGCTGTTCTGACTCACAGACTGTAAGTACGTTTAAAGGATTTGCCACTGACGATTCAAACGCGAGTTTTGAGCAGTGTAGAGTAGCGTTTGTAGTTTGTCATTTCT